ATCATGGCCATAACCATTATCATGGTTGGAATAATTATCATATAATTGTGGCGTTCATAATAATACACCTTATTACAAGAAATGGACAAACTATAATGGTCATAATAATACACCTTACCACCGGATGTAGACAAACTATAGTGATCACAATAATATATCTAACCACCGGAAAATGGACAAACTATGAAAAAAAAAATAAAGGTGGATTAAGTCATTATTCTGAAAATGAATGTTATTTGTATCGAATGAAGGGACATTGATCGAGTATCCGTCATACGTCGAAACACCTTATTGAGCTTTATCAAGGAACATTGAAAAGAAAGAGTAAAATATAAAAGCCAATTTTATATATCAAAATGATGGTAATTGAAATTAATAACTTGTTGGCTTTTTTATTTATAAATAAGATGTTTTATATTTTCTTATAATTTTTATTGCATAGAGATAGATCTAAATTTACTTTACTATTTATTTATTTACTTGTGTTTATGAAGAATATATTTATTTATTTATTTTATACCTATTTAATTATTTATTTTGTTTTAATATTATATTTGATACTATCAATTTAATAGAAAGCTTCGGAAGAGTGAATATATTATCAACTAAATAAAAAAAATTTTGAAAGCTCTAGAAGAGTGAATATATTATTATTTAAAGACATAAATTTTGAAGGCTTTAAAAAATTAAATATATTATTACTAGAAGGGACAAATTCTAAAAGCTCCGGAAGGACAAATATATTATTACCTAAAGGGAAATTTTTTTTATTATAAATAATATATTATTCTCTCTAAAGTCTCATAAACATTTGTTGAGTTTCAAAAATATTCATCTAAATGGATATCATATAGAGACAACAAATATTAAGAATATTAAATACTTATATATTATAATAATTATATCATATATAAAATATATATTTGAGTAATTGCTTTCTTTCTCTTCGATCTTTATTAAAACCACTTGAATGGTTGAAATAAATGCTATAGTAAATCGAAGTTTACTAGTATAAATACTTTTATCATGTGGCACGACTTGGTTGGGCTACCGTAGGTCTTTCATAATGTGAAACATTATTGAAAATATATATAGACATCTATTAAAGAGCTAGAAGATTCTTTAATTTAATGAATTTTCATATTCCGCATGTTGATCTTTAAGCCATCACCAAGTAAAATTGAGATTGAATCTCTTGTATTTTTAAAATGTATTAAAGGTGATATATGTAAATCAATTCATCCACCATATGAGCCATTTAGATATTTTATGATTTTAATAAATGTATCTATAAGATGATCATATGTATGCTTATTATCTACTTGAAACTTGACTTTTTCGAGGTTGCTAGCTCAAATAATTTGATTACCGGGACAATTTCTAGATTATTCCATTAAAATAATTTACCTTGATAATGTTGGTAAATTTATCTCGCAAGCATTAAATGATTATTGATTTGTTATTAGAATAAAAGTTGAAGAACCGAGTTGCTTATGTTCATAATGAAAAAGGTTTAGGAAAATCATTTATCGAAAGGCTCAAATTAATAGCTAAACTATTATTTATGAAAACAAAACTTCATGTTTGAGTTTAGGGATAAGCAATCTTATATGTGGCAATACTTATTTGTATCGGACCCATAAGTTATAAGAAATTCTTTCCCTTTCAATTGATTTTTGATCATGAATCAAATATTTCTCATTTAAGAATTTTTAGATGTGTAGTATATATCTCTAATGCTTCTCCATAAAAAAATAAAATGGGCACTTAAAGAAGATTGGAAATATATGTTGGATTTGAATCCTTTTCAATAATTAAATATCTTAACCCATGAATATTAGTATTTTTATAGCTCGATTTACCGACTATCATTTTGATGAAACAGTTTTTCCAACATTAAGGGGAGAGAATAAGCAAAATAAGTAGTTGAAGAACAGATTATATAGAGTACTTCATCTTTTAATCATCTAGATCCTTGCATGAACTAGAAGTTTAGAAGATAATTATTTTATAAGATATTACAAAACAACCGCCAAATGCATTCTCGGATCCAAAAAGAATAGCTTAAATGAATATCCCCGTCGAGAATGCTCCTATCGAATTAATATCTTAAGAAGAACAATCTATTAATATTACGACAAATGAATTTAAAGTGTACCTAAAAAGTAAAAAACTGATAGGTTTTAAAGATAAAAATTCCTAAAAAAAAAGACAACTAATCAAGATAAAAATATAAAGGATGCAAATATTTATAAAACGAGTTCAAGATATTTGTGATAATAGGCTTCCAAAAGAAGTCTAAATGCTTCAGAAAAATCAAAAGTTTTTAATAAATTATGTCAATAGAGAGAGAAATAGAACAAAAAAGAAACATTTATTGATAAGATTTTTTCATATAATATTGCAATTGATATTTTGAAGGAAAATAAGGATCTTGAGCTTAAATTTATCGAAGAATATCGATATAGAGATGATTGGCCTAAATGAAAAGAACAATCTAGGCATAATTATATTCTCTTACAAAACGAGTAGTTTTTGAACCCATGATCAAAACACTCGAAGATGTTAAACTAGTGGGATAAAAATAGGTATTTATGCAAAAACGAGAATAAGAAAGATGAGATTATGAGATACAAAGCAAGACTTGTAATACAAGGGTTTTCGTAAAGATCTAACATTAACTATAATGAGACACATCTCCTATAATGGATGCAATTCATTTCGTTAGCTCATTAGCTCGAAAAAATATATGAAAAACTCATATGCATACATTTAATGAATGTAATCACAACTTATTTATTCACTTAAAATGATATCTATATAAAAATCCTAGAAGTACTTAAGATGCTCGAAGCATGTAATGCATATTTTTGAGAAATAAATTTCATTAAATTATAAAGATCTTTATCAATATTATGTTAGTATTTTTTTTTATTATTTTAGTTTTTAGAAATTCAATTTATGTTATATTTTTTATATTTATTTTTTTATTTTTCAATATCTACTCTTTATTACTAACATGTGTACATGTGAAATAATCTCTTCAATAAATATTTATTGAAAGAATGTTATGAAAATAACCATATTTATTCATGTATTTTTATAAAGAAATTCATAGAGGATTTTATAATAATTGTTGTATAAGTTGATAATTTAAATATTATTGAAACTTCTAAAGAGATTCCAAGTGCCATAAATTATCTAAAAGGGGAATTTGATATGAAATACCTTAGGAAAATAAATTTTTATGTTGACTTGTAGTTTGAATACTTAGAGAATGAGATTTTTATTCATCGGTCGGTTTATATAGAAAAAGTTCTACAATAATTCTATATAAAGCTTATCTACCGATTAGCCCAATGGTAATTCGTTCATTTGATATCCAAAAAGATCATTTTTCGACCCCGAAAAGATAACAAAGAATTTTTTGGTCTTGAAGTACTATATCTTAATGCAATTGGTGCATTGATATATTTTACTAATAATACTTGACGTGATATAGCCTTTTCTATAAATTTATTAACAAAATATAGTTTTGCTCCAATACGAAGATATTGGAATAGAATTAAATATTTCCTACGTTATCTTCATTAAAAAATAGATATGATATTTATTTTATTGAAATAAATCAAAATTGGGTTTAATTAATTATGCAAATACATGGTATTTATCTAATTCATACAAAATCAATTTCAAATGGGTTATGTATCTACATATGGTGATACAACTATATCATTACGTTCTATGAAGCAAACAATAGTTACTACATGTTCAAATCATGCAAAAATACCAATTCATAAAGCAAGTCAAGAATATGTTTGACTAAGATCAATGACGCTTCATATCCGAAAGATATGTGATTTATCTACTAGTAAAGAAGTTTCATCGATATCATATAAAGATTATGATTCTTGCATAATTCAATTAAAGGAAGAATACATTAAAATGACAATCCGATAGACTTATTCACTAAGGTATTATCTACTACAGCTTTTGAGAAAATGATTCACAAGAGAGCCGTGGCCTTAAAGATCTTAAATGATGTTTTTAATAAGGGAGCTCAATATAGAGATTAATATGTATAAAGAATATGTACTCTTTTTCCTTCACTATAATTTTTTTTCATTGGGTGTTTTCCTAATAAGGTTTTAACGAGGCATGTTATTTATACAATGGATTTAATGGGGAGTGTTGTGAAATAATAAATGTCTATTTCATATTCCCACTACTCATTATTCTTAATGTGATCCAATTCACCATTAAATATTAAAAATTGAAAAGATGATGCAATTAATTCAATTATTTATACACATTTAATGATTCATGGTATTTTTCAATTATCTTTCTAATCTTGAAGCTTGTAAAAAGATTTGATTGTTCATTATTTTGTATACTAAATATTTTGTAGAGATTAAAATAATTATTTAGAATTATTATCTCTTGTATTCATTTTATTTTTTATAATGAATTTATTTTTCTATCATTTTTCTTTTCAATTTTATTATTATTATCATTTCTTTCTCAATATAATAATAATACTCCTCCAAACCGTGAGTATTAATTTATTAGTTTTATTAAATTATAAGGACTACGTTATAATGTACTCGAAGGAAAAAAAAAAAAGGCAAGAGACTTAAACCAGGCACTTGGCCGTTGGCACCACCACTTCCGTGACTCCTATGGCCCTATTATGGCTGTCAACATTTAGCAGTTAAATGCGGTGGTTTTCAGCTCAACTACTTCACCACTCTGTAGCCACCTCTATCTGTCTCTCTACCAAATGTTAATTAATTCCGCTGTCCTTCTATCTGCTTTCGCCTAACTGATCTTCCATTTTATTTTCCTCTCACTCTCCTCTGCTTTCCTCGTAATCTCCAATTTTTTATTAAAAAATCTACGGTACTAATACTAACGGAAGCTTAGCTTTTCCCTTCTTTTTATAGCATTAGTTTAAGCCTTCTTCAAAACCCACTTCTCAGATCCAAAACCAAAACTAAAAGATGGCTCTCTGTTTCTTTGACCAACTCAGAGTTCAGCCTTCATGGCTTCTTGTGCTTTTCACTTTGGGTTCTCTTTCACTTTTGAAATTTCTTTTCGTTTCTCTCAGATGGGTCTACGTTTGTTTCCTCAGACCTGCTAAGAATCTCAAGAAATACGGATCATGGGCTCTCGTTACGGGACCCACTGACGGTATTGGCAAAGGATTCGCTTTCCAATTGGCTCGAAAGGGTCTCAATCTAATCTTGGTGGGCAGGAATCCTGATAAACTCAAAGATGTGTCGAGTTCAATTCAGTCCAAGTACAGTTCTGTTCAAATCAAGAACGTTGTTGTTGATTTCAGTGGCGATATTGACGAGGGTGTTCAAAAGATCAAGGAGACTATCGAAGGATTGGATGTTGGTGTCTTAATTAATAATGTTGGGGTTTCGTATCCTTATGCGAGGTTCTTTCATGAGGTTGATGAGCAGTTGTTGAAGAATTTGATTAAAGTGAATGTTGAAGGCACTACTAAAGTTACACAAGCTGTATTACCTGGGATGTTGAAGAGGAAGAAAGGTGCTATTGTTAATATTGGTTCTGGTGCTGCCATTGTAATTCCTTCTGATCCTCTTTATGCTGTTTATGCTGCTACTAAAGCGTAAGCCTTGTTTTTCTTTTTCTTTTTTTCCCTAGTAATTTATTCACAAGGTTTTAATTTCTGGAGATTTGGAGTCGCCTGATTTTAGTTTTTATTTACTATTTAATTTGTTTATGTTATCAGGTATATTGATCAATTCTCAAGATGCATTTATGTTGAATACAAGAAAAGTGGGATTGATGTGCAGTGTCAGGTAGTGTGCTTCTTCATTCTATAATTTTCTGCTGCTTTCAATACTAATAATGATCTGTATGTAATAGATTTAGTTTATATTGATGTTCTGTTAAACCTGTGATTATGTCTAAATAAGTGTTCTTGTATGATCGTCGCATCTGAAATTTGAAATATAAATAGAGTACTGTTTGAGTAAACTTTCAACCATCGGCGGTGATGGTATTTTCTTTCTAGTTGCATTAACCAGTGAGATTTTCTTTGGTAAGGGGAATGAAGAAAAGACCATCATTATCTGTGTTTCGCCTTTTAAAGTAATTATTAAACTCAGAAACATGGATCGCTAGGTATGGAATAGCTGCATGTCCAGTGCTATAAGCTACTGGCCCTGACTGGGAAATCGTGTATATTTGGTCTGTCGTTACCCCAGCAAATGTTTTTTTCAGCAATAGAGTACACTTAACATATTCAATTATGAATTGGTTATTAGAAATCTGGATAGGATGTATCTTATTTCTTCTATGCAAGCTAGTGGTTTATTATGTCTACGAGAAAGTTCATGACTGAATTTGCAAATATAGTTGTTAGGTAGAGGCTATCTTTCTTTCATTTTCATAAAATAATCATATATCACGGAGACTGCTTTCGTGCACTTCATAGTTTTAACAACTCTGTTTTGTCTTTTGAGTGTTTGTTGGCCCTACCGAATCCTCAAGTGTTATAAACCCAATTAATTTACCTATCATTATCAGCAGAAGATGAACTTATACAGTTTTAACAAGGCAATCTCCAACAAACAATAAAGCCATTCGTATCACAATGAGCAACATATGAGTTTGTGTTTTATTAGGTGAAAGTGCAATATGCCCCGCTAATCATATTTTTAATCCAACAGTGCACAAACTTTTTCTTCTTATAGTTTTCTTGTCTCTTTTGAATATTTCCCTAGATTCTACCCATTTGTCTGAATTGGCTTGGTATGATTAGTGACAGAACCATAGACGATATAGAGTTTTAGATGTGAGATAATACTAGAACTTACTACTAATTGAATGCATGTTTTATGACTTAAAGTTGGCAAGTGAGAATGCAAGGAAATATCAATGAGATGGTTATTTACACTGTAAAACATTGGCAGCTCGAGTGGGAGGAATCATGAACACCGAAGCACACTGAAAAACCCACACCATAATGCATGTAAGAAAAATTAACCAAATAGATGTCATTTTAGGCAAGTACTAAAGAGTAACCACTGGTGTGGCCACCTCACATGCAACAGAGCTACCCATCTAGCCATCCATTCCTTAAGTTGTGAATTTGATAACTAATAAGGCTTTAGCTTTGAGTATTTGAATCACCAAGCCTTGCCTATCTGTTGTTTGTGAACGTTGCCCTTCTTCCTCATTGAACCTCTTGTCTTGTAAATAGAAGTTTTTCCTTGTGTGCTTATCTAAAGAGATGGAGGCCCCACATCCTGAGTTCTAGTCTCTTGATTTGCATGAGTATCTAAAGTATAATTTTCAGATCTTATTCAGGCAGGATGATAAACATGTCACTATTTGTCTGCTTGTTATCTGGTATTGGTTATATATACATATTAGTTTTCCTTTATTTTATGTTTCTTTTGATGCAGGTTCCGCTTTACGTTGCAACAAAGATGGCATCAATAAAGAGATCTTCCTTTTGGGTTCCATCAACAGACAGTTATGCCCGAGCAGGTCTGCGTGCTATAGGCTATGAGCCTCGCTGCACACCTTACTGGCCCCATTCCCTTCTTTGGGGCTTGATACAATTTTTGCCAGAATCAATCGTTGATTCATGGCGGCTAGGTTTTTGCCTTGGGATTCGAAAGAGAGGACAGCTCAAAGATTCAAGAAAGATGGAATGAACAGTATCTGTTCTACTTTGCTTAGCCATGGCAGGGAGTGTGGTTAAAAGTTGTAAACTTTTAGGATGATGATTGTGTACTTGTAATTGACCTTTTCTTCCAACATGTTCCTTTCATTTTCATTTTGCATGGTTGCATCTTGGTTATTATGAATGGACCATTGATATGCTTTAACAATTTTACGAGTTAATAAAAAGTATGAAGCATCCAAAAATTTCTAGTAAGCGTGTCCCGTTTTTCTTCTACACGCAGACTCGCCCTTCAACCCATGTGGGTAGAAGTTACAAAATATTTAAAGATGTTTCTTGCTAGCTTTAGGGTCTTGATTTTGTCAGGCAGGTTCACTCCTTCTGAAACCAATCTGATATTCCACCAAGTTCTCTCACCTGATGAGAGAAGCCAGATTTATGGCCGTCTAACTTAAAGCATTTGCAATTTTCCTGCGTATCTTGAGAACTGTTACCAATGTAAATATTGCCGGAGACTTTTTTTAATTATTATTTAAAACCCAATTTTTGGAAAAGAATAGGATTACGGATTCTCTTAAAAACCTAGACATAACAAGTCTACATCAGTGAAGACTGTCTAAATAAAGTATAAAGCATGTACTTTAGTGTCTAAATCAAAGGATAAGTCTCAAGACTATACAAAAGATATGGCTCAAAGACTTATATGGATCAGTCATAAAAACCATGCAGGTTCAAATCAGTTTTAAACAAATAAGTTTTCATCAAACAAGAGATATATGAGTCTACAATGAGTAATCAGTCGGTAAATCTAAATGCTTACACTAAACAAATCACAAGGTTTGTATTGAACAATAAATCATAGAGATTTATGCAAGTATGAGAAAAGTTGAGCACCTGAGAAGAGTTTACCTCTAGCATAGTGCTTACAAACTAAAAGAAAACATTAAATTGCATAAGAAAGAAAGAAATTAAATAAATTGAAATCATGTAAAAAAAAATGTATAAAGAAAGCGATAAAAAAATAAATTGCAAAAGTAAATTTCGAGAAATATTGATTTGCAAAAAAAAAAAAAAAAAAAGAGAAAATTTGTACTGAAATTGTATATTAGAGCTGGTCAAAAAATTACAATAAGAGTGTTCATCTATTTATATTATTCTAAAACCTAAGACTTACTTTCAATAGAGGTATGGAAGTAACCAACATAGGAGTTAGTCTTTAAATAAATATATATATATATATATATATATATATATATATATATATATATATATATATATATAATAAAGATAAATATTGATGTCCAAATCAAAAAAGGAAACAAATACCTTAAAAAAAAAACAAGGTTTTACATTCTTTACAAAGACTAAATGAGAAAAGTTTAGAGTAGGAGAGGTCTTAGAACCTTTTAGAATAACTTCAATTACAAAATCTAAAAATTAAATTACTTCGGCAATTATGTCGTTTCGAAAGAATTTGGATATTTGGGTATAAATATAAGAAAAAATCTCACTGGTTGAGTTAATTTTTAAAATAAAAAAGATCTAATAGCACATAAAACTAGTATCGAAGTCTAGTGTAAACAATTTTAAAAGTTAGGTTACTCAATATAAATTGTGAAAAAAGCTAGGTGCTTAGTTAAAAATGTGAAAAAAAAACCCTTATTTTTTAAAATTAATTTCTGGATTTAAATGAGTCCTCACTGGTGTATGATTAAAACATGAAAATAATATGGATTGATTTTCATTATTACTGTTCACCGGCTAAAAGTCAAAATTAATTGGACTCTTGGATAAAAAAACGTGATGAATTATGAAGCAATAAGATGCGACTCAGGTGCAGACCCAAATAACTCTCCAGATCTCCAGCAAATTATTAAGATACATGTTTTTTTTTAATCCAATGTTAATTATTAAAAAAATAAATAATATGTGTTTGTGTGTTTTTGGGTAAAAATATGCTCATTTATCAACCATGTATCGAAGTGAAGAAAATTTTGTCATTCTTATACTGTTGATTTATATTCATGTCACACATAATTAAGAATATTGTTTTTAAAAAAGTAAAGTTTTAGCAATTAATATTTTTAAGAGTTATACATAGGGTATATAGATACATATATCCTTATATAATAATCTGAGTTTCTAATCTATCTTTACATTTCTAATTATATTTATTATATTTCTAAATAATATTTAAATCTTCAAATATGTTATTTTGATCAATTTTTTTTTTACCATTATCTATTTTTTTTTTTTATCAAAATACCCTTGTTTGAAACATAGAAAACAAAAAGAAAAAAATTCTAAAAACTTCAAAATGGAATATGCAAGTCATGTCATTTAAAGTTTTTTTTTTTTTTTCATTTAAGTTAAAGGTATTTTGGTCAAAAAATAGACTTGTAGTTGAAAAAAATATCGAAATAGATCAAAAACTTAAATATTATTCAATAACATAATAGAGACAATTAAAAATATAAAGACATATTGTAGCTTCAAGCCATTGAGCTATTTACCCTTATATATATTTGTCTCAACTATTAATTATTAAGTATAAAAAAAATAAGTAAATTCATTCCCTTAGTATTTACTTAAATCTAATTAAAATTATTTATATGGTAAAAAAATTTACAACTCAATTTAATTAAAACTATTAAAATTTATATTAAATCAAACATGTTTATTTAGTAAAAAATCAAATTTATTCATTTATAATCTAAACAATTTATTAGAAATTAAAAGATATATATATACACACACTAGTTAAATAATAGAAGTTCGAAGGTAGTAATCTCAATTCTCAAATATGCATCCATATATTTATACCTCACATTGGGAATATAATTATTGTTTGTAATTTATAATTACACAGGTTTTCCATTTATTCACCGAAAATTTTTATTATTATTTTATCTGTTACTAGCAATTCAGTTATATTTTTTATATTATTAAGAGCATTAATTTGTATAAAACATTACATCAAAGTCGCCAAATCAGAAGAGGTTTATGAATTAGTTTCTAAATTCACAAAGTTAGTAATTATTCTCGCTTCTAGATAATAACTTTTCCAATTTCTTAAGATATTTTAATATGTTTTCTAGAAATTATACATATAATAAGATAATATGATAGGTCGAGTGGAGGATTAAAAACGTTAAAAAAATATATTTATATATTTTAGGGTTATTTGGATTAAAAAAAGGAATTTTGTTTTCTTAATCCATTCCAAATATTAAAGATAAATAAAATCATTAATTCGAGAAGCAACCTTGCCAGCTGCCGCCATAAAAATACGCACTCATTAGTGAAAGAAAGAACCCTTCTCCTCCTGCCTGGCTACTGGCCTCCCCTCCCCTCAAAACAAAAGGAAAGACGAACCCTGCCAACATCACAGACAGTATCCATGGCCGATTCCTACACTGCCTTCATAGACACCACCCTCGACACTCACCTGGCCTTAATTGTTGCCGCTTCCGACACTGTTTCCGACCTCAAGAGTATGTTTTCCTACTTTTATTCTTTTTTTTAGTGTTATCAAATGTAATGATTTTATCTGCTCAATTAAATGGAATAAATCATGGATAATTATATTTTTTGTTTGATTTATCATGCATGACTGCTGTATTTATTTATTTATTATTTTTTTTAAAAAAATGTTTCTCTATTCAGTTTGCTATTTTCTATGTTGTTCGACATGTTTATGATGTCTCTGTTAAACTGCAGAGAAAATACTTGATGAACACAAGCTCTGCTTTCCGACCACTGGGGACATTAAAATTCATGCTTTGAAGGTATTACTCTATCAATTATTATGCTTTTTTTCCCCTTACTGTGCCATAATGCTGTTGTTTTTTCATCTTTTCAAATTGATTACAAGGAATTTTTCTTAAACCAGGTAAAACGTCGAGGGATCTTTTACCATTTATCGGAATCCATGTTTCTAAAGAGTGTCTTTGACGGCACCAATAAAAATTGGTTTGTTAATGTTGATGCTTCTACTATAGAGGACAATGATGACAAACAGCTTCCGCTCAATCCCGATTCTACCAACCTAGTAGCTCAGGTTGGTACCACAAAAAATGGTTTAACTGACGAGGCTAACCTTCTCCCTGCTAGCCATCCAAAAAGCTTGTTCAATGTTGGTGATTTATCCCGGTCGCTAGATGAGAGTGGCCAGCTCTCGAAACAGAAGGCTGACCAGCTGGGTTTTTCTGTTGCTGGAACAGAAGAATTAAATAATTCATGCTTAGTTGCATATAAAGGTGATCATCACGATAAGGTTACAAAATTGGCCGACAGTGGGTCAAATCCTCCTATACAGGAGAAATATGATGAACCCAGCAAGGAAAATGAAGTTCAAGAAACTGCAACTGGAGGTGTGGAAGGTGGTTCTGAGGATGGGATTGGTGATATTCAAGGCAGTACACCATCAGATGGAGCTCTTGCAACAGGATTTGGTGCAAAGAAAAAGAATAAAAGGAAGAGGAAAAGTAAGGATGATACAGATGACCTTGCTGTAAAGGAAAAGGATGCTTTAGTGTGTCAATCTGGTGAAAATGAATCACAACAAGAGAGTGTTGCGAAGAAAAGGCGTAAAATTGAGGAGGAAAATGGGGGTGATGGTTCAGTGAAGGAGAAGGAAATTGTCCTTTCCGATTCCAATAAAGAGATATCCAAGCATCCTACTATCTCTCAGCACCATTTAGTAAACAATCAGAAAAATGCACATGCTGCTTTAGACTGTTTACCCTCTGAAACTCTGGATCGTGTCAATTTGACGTCAGACTGTCCAAGCAGCGGGAAGGGGAAAAAGAAAAAGAAATCAATAAATCCTCTTAATCTAGTAACTGCTGGAGTTCCTTCATCCAATGAAGATGTTAGGGGAGAGAGTATGGAAGTTAACCCCAATGATTTCAGCAAAGAGCCCAATACAGCACCTGCTTCTGTTCGGGGAATAACAATTTCTGAGTCCTGTGCTATCTCTGTGAAGGAAAAACACATTGATCCTGCCCAACAAGATAAAAGGCCCTCTCCACAAGGTGAGTTCCATGGGTTATCAAATTTACACGTGCTTGTTTATCTTAATGTCTATTTCCTGTTTCATCCATTGAAAAAAATTAGAGAAACAACAAGACATTTGTTGCTGATATTCTTGGTGATCTTTTGTAGACATGGATATGAATGACACAGACACTACCGATGCAAAAGTTAGACACGATGCCCCTGAACTAGCTACTGCTTCTGCTGCCAAAAAAAGAGAGTGAAGAACATCATCCTTGATGATAATCAGAAACCTGCCACTGATCAGGTTGATGGACTTGAAGAGGAAAGAGAGTCATTGCACCCAGAATCTCTGCCACATGAGAAGTGCAAAATATCTGACATGAGATCTAAAGAAGCAGTTAATACTTCTCAACCGATTGAGGCTAGTGAAACTGTGAATCCTGGGACACAATCCAAGAAGAGAAAGAAATCCAAAAGGACGGGGAATTTGTTGAGCACAACACCAACATCAGTAACCAAACATGTTAAAAGCTCTGCAGCTGCTAATGCTGCTTCAACCGAGTCTCATAAAGCTGTGAATGTGGATGATTCCAATGATAAAGGTAGTCAAGGGGAAACGAATTTGCCTGCAAACAAAGGGAAAGAAGTACCTGAATTGGATAAAGAAGTAGTTGTCGCTTCTCATTTGGTTGAGGTTATTGAACCTGTGAATCCTGGGACACCATCAAAGAAAAAAAGAAGTCTATGAGTACGAAGGATCTGTTAAGCAGAACTGCAGGATCAGGTTCAGAAAATGTTAAGAGCTCTGCAGCTACTGGCACTGCTTCAACTGAGCGCCATAAAGCTGTGAATGGAGATGATTTCAATGCTAAAGTTAACCAAGAGGAAAGCAATTTGCCTGCAAAGGAAGGGAAAGAAGTAGCGGAAATGGATACTGTTGTGACTTCTGAATTGGTTAAGGCTAGTGAAACTGTGGATCCTGGGACAGCATCAAAGAAAAGAAAGAAGTCCAAAAGGATGACAGGTTCGTTAAGCAGAACACCAGCATCAGGTAAAGAACATGTTAATAGCTCTGCGGCTGCTGATGCTGCTTCAATGGAGCCTCATAAAGCTGTCAATGACAATTCCAATGATAAAGTTAACCAGGAGGAAAGCAATTTGCTGGCGAAGGAAGGGAAACAAGTCTCGGAAATGGATAGAGAAGTAGTTGTCACTTCTGAATTGGTTGAGGCTAGTGAAGCTGCAAATCCTGAGACACCATTGAAGACAAGAAAGAAGTCCAAACAGAGAAGGGATTTATTAACCGGAACACCAACATCCGGTACAGAACATGTTAATGGTTCTGTGGCTGACATTTCTCCGACTAAGCCTCATGATGCTGTGAATATGGATGATTCCAAGGATAATGGAAATAAAGAGGAAAGTAATATGGCTGCAAAGAAAGGGAAAGTGGTGTCAGAAATGGATGCAGCAAGTACTTTTCATCTAGCTACTGATACAGAAATTGATAATGTGATTGAGAATGTGGTGAAAAATGCTGTCAGTGGTTATCCATCTAAAACTGATCATTCTGACAAAGCTGGTTGTGGTATGGAAGTTTCCTGTGGAAGTGATAGGATCAACTTCAACAAGTACTTTGTGCCTAGCCAAGACCATGGCGAAACTGCTGCGTCTGGAGAGGTGATTGTTGACAAAGCAACTAAAGCAAAAGAAATTAGTGGTATGAATCCTAACAAGAAGAAAAAGAAGCTAGATGCACATTCTCATGGTCCTTCATCTGATTTACATGGTTCATTGAGGTTAAATGGGAACAATGGAATTCGAGAAAAGCCTCCAGCTGGTGGGGTTAAAGTTCCACCATCTAGCAAGTCTCATAAGATCAGTTCCATTCCTGCAGAAGCCAGAAAATCTGGTGCTTTGACACCTGTTGACCCCGATACCTTTGCAACAAATAACAAAGAACCTTCTGGTGCATCAAATTCTAGCTTGGAAAGTTCTAGAAGCATAAGGGGTAGAGGGCATGGCTCAGATAAAGATTTCAATCAAATGAACGGTAGAAAAGTTTACCCTGCTAAAATTGGGGAGGTTGTAAATAGTTCACAACGTAAAAAGAGCTTAACAGGAAAATCAGGCACAATATTCCAGGATGATAATTATGAGCATTCTGCTGATGATAGAACTGACAGTTCAGATTCCAGCACTAGAACTCCAGACAATTCATCGTCTTCTGACTACTCAGACGGAGAAAGCAATTCAGATGTTAACTCATGTGAAAATGGTAATATACTAATCTTATATCAGTTTTGTTGATTTATTGATTTATTAGTGCTTATCGTGGCTGATCGCATCGTGAGCTAGTATGTTTTTATAGGAGTCGCACCTAGAAAGAGGAAGAGCTAGACATCACACCTAGGGATCTTATGACTCGCATCTAAGATAGATTGCATCAAACTATCACAAAGCTTATAGCTGGAACATTTATTCACAAAGTCTGATTGTTTATCAAATGATTACGTACCTTTATATAGAGTTGAGGGTTTCTGGTACTCCGAGTCCATCAAGGAGTTGGTCATTTAGATTCCTATGTACGAAAATACTACTTTTTCCTTACCAAAGCCTACTTGATTGAGGACTAATAACACTAAACATATAATAGATGTCTAGAAATAACCTGATGCATGAAAATCACACGAAAATAAAATAATGATGCTCCTTTCATTGTCTGAATCAACATTTGTTCATATGGACAACGGAAAACAACACTTAGGCATTTTAAATCAGTGGAAAAATGTAAGAAAATCTTGGAAATAATCAGAGTCCTTTACATGGACAGAGCAGGGGTGAAATAACCAGAGTTCTATACATGGACAGAGCAGGGGTGGAGGAGTTTAGTGTTGTTTCTTTAAAGATGCATGAATGAGCATATGAATTCCTGACTTTCTGAGGTGTTGTTTCATAAATTTATGGGTGAATTACAATAACCCCCTAAGGTATCGTGAAATTATAAACACCAACCAAAAGTTTGAAGATTGTTAGAAGCCCCCAATTGTAATTGAAATGCCCTGAATTACTGTTTTTTAGAACGTGTAAATTTTAAAATTAACTTAGCAAGGTTAAAGAAAGAATATTAAGTATAACGAACATGATCAATTTTTTTTTGGCTAAATGAACAATATTAATTTGGTCAATTTGGTTAGAGTTTTTTTTTAAAAAATATTCTTTCTAATTATTTTAAGTAGCTGATTTAACTATTTTTGTTTTTGAAATGAGGTTTTTGTAATAGCTTCTCGAATGGAGTTCTTGCCAAATCTTCAAGTTTTTGGATAGTGTTTGTAATTTACTAATTTCACGATATCTCAGTGGGTTTATTCTAATTTAGCCTAAATTTATATACCATTCTTGGTCACTGAGGTTACCAAATTGGCCCATCACTAGTCTTGAAAGGTCTCTCCTGTTCTGAAAGCTGGTGGCCTCTGTGTTCTTGATAAAACAGTCAAAACTAAGATTGTTTAATCATGCTCGCCAATCTTCCTTAAGAGCTAAGGTGAAAATTGCAATATGAATTTAGTGATAACTTAATTCTTGTACTTTTTAAAATGTATTCTCAAAAGTCATACTGTAAATTCCACCTTTTGTGCCGTGCTGTATTTTTGCTGCTCCCAGAGTGTCTGCTTGGTTCTTCATTTGCTGCGTTCTTTCATTGTGGCAGAAGCTTATGCCAGTTGATACATGTCTGATTTCTTCAAACACAGTATTGATGCACAACCACCTTTGAACTGATTTCTGGCTCTAGTCTTGTCAACCCATAATGTGTTATTCCATTCTTTTGAAGCTAATTCTTTTCGATTTCAATTTAAATTTGCCACAGGATATAACAGCTTGAAGAGCAAGGAAGGTGGTGGAAAGAACATCAAAAAACCATTGTAAGTGAGAAAAATTGACAAATTCTTTCTCTGGTTGTATCTAGCCAGCCGTATATTTTTGGCATCAATCATTTGTTCAAGTGCATATTCGTTACTTATGGACTAAGCCAGGCCTATGATGAGGTGTATGTTTCTATATTATTCCGTCTGAAAAAAGGACCTTCGAATTTTAATATCTCGGGGAACTAACTGCCAACATGAGAAGAGAAAAATGGTTTCAGGGGTCGCTTTGCAATTTGCAATGGAGTTCAGTTCTATATTTTCTTTGTTTCCACATGCTCAGTATCTCTGAACCTTTTTTGTTTTTTTTTGGCTTGGAACAGTTCTTCAGGTCTAACCTTGGAGAAGATCCTTAAAAGTTCAAGCAGATATAAGCAGGCCAAGCTAACAGCTTCCCAGTCGCAGCCGGAGGACACCGAAAGTGAGCCTGTTGATATTGTTCCGGACAGTCAAGCAAACCCTTGATCACCCTGTCAACAGTCTTGTTTGGTCCTTATTCCTATGAGAGTTTTTGTTGTTTTCTTGGCGTGGTCTGCAGGGGCCTCAGTTTTGTTCTGGGTTTTTTTTTCCTTTTTTTGTTTGGGGGTAAAAAAGCAAGGCATTTGGCCATGCATTCTCTCTGATCTTGTTTTCTCCTATAAGCATCAAGAGTGTGGAAGGACATCGGAAAAAAAACGAAAATTGAGGTTTAAATGCTTACGTTGGAATTGGGAATTTCAATCCTGTGCTTAATATTTACTGACCCAACTATTTTCATAATAAGATCTGAAGATTGATAATTGGCTGGTTTTACCATTATTCATTTTCTTTTCGCCAAAATCTTAAAAAGTTCTGGGAAGTCTTCTTTCCTTGGACGAAGCTAAACCAGCCGACTACTTTCTCGTGAACTTGGCAAGCTGGTTTTGGGGGGTGCTGAAGGACAAATTTGTGGCAGGCTTATCATAAAGCAGCCGCACATCAAGCAAGCTAGCTATCCTCATTTTTGCATGGCTCAGTGTAAGGATCTGACTGTAAGCGTCATTATATAGATTTTAAAACAATATGTTACTCCATGAGAGTTTATTATGATGGAGTTTCCTTTTGTCTGCTAAAGACCTAACCAACTACCAAGTTCCATACTTCAAGCCTGTTTGTCCCTATGCGTTTTACTTTATTTCACTCAATCAAACGTTGTAAGTCGGGGACCTATAATAAAATATAATGCGTCGGGTCGCCTTGATTTGATCCTGCTTTATTGATATTTAGGGCAAAGTTCTACCTGGCCTGTGTACTTCAACATCAAGTTTATAATACATAATTTCATACTTGAATCCTATCCTGTATTCTTTTGAATTTTTTTAATTGAGTTTTTGTTTTTTTTTTTTTAAGACTTTCCAGACATTTTGAAATTTGATACTTCATATCTTTTATTATAATATAATTAATTAGTGATCGACGTGCGGTCGTGATTTGATAATATATATATATATATATGAAATACAAAATCTGGCTAAAATTAATGGAGCCAATTAAGTAGGTCATGCAAGTTGCAACAGCAACAAATTAATATCAATTAACAAACAGAACCCTAGAAAAAATGACAGAAAAAGAAAACCGCCACAGAAACTTGTATATAAAGAAAGTAAGAATGATAATATTCATTCAACTAAATTAAATCAAATCGTAAGGGAAAAAAAGGGGATTCATCAGGATCCTTGGATCACTTCTTTTTTTATCTTCCTAAACACCACTTCCGTATCCAATCCAAACCCATCAACTTTCCGGACATGAACAAGCTCAGATTTCGTAAACAACTTAACCAACGGTTTAACACTGTACAAATCGTTAGCCGAGTACTTATCAGCCCGTCTAGAAAGCGCCACGTGTAAGACGCATACCCCACCAGGCTTCAACGTCCGTTCGATCTCTCCGACGAACCTATCCGGAAACAGCGCGTGATCAAACACGTTTGAGAACTCAAAGTCAAAAGTCCCATCATCGAACGGCTGGTGATGGAAATCACCCTTTACAACCAGGGGTGGATACGGCACCAGGTCCATGCCAACCGAGTCTGACACTCCGACGCGTCGTAACGCCTCAACTTCTTGCCCTACACGGGCACCGATACACAAGGCTTTGGATTCGTTGGAAATAAGGTTCTTCTGTTTCAAATCTTTAAAGAAATCAGCAAAGACCTGGATTTTGCGGTCCCAGTCACGTGTTGTCCATATTTTTCTGAGTTTTGGATTGAGGGTCTTGTTTAGTTGGCGTTGTATGTAGGAATTGTAAGTGGCGTATCCTGGTCGGATTCTGAGGTCGGAGTTGGGGTTTTGGGGTGGTGGGTGGGCGGTGATTTTGAAGGAACATAAGGAGAAAAACAGAGAGAGGGAGAGGATGAGAGAGATAAGGAAGCATACGATTATGGGTGGCTTTGGTTTCATGTTTTGCATGTATTCTTGTTAGTTAAACTCTCTACATTACTTTTCTTTCCTTTGCTTCTGTAGTATTCCGTTTTGTTTGCATGAGATAAGGAGGAGGGAAACAAAAGGATTGAAATACGAAAAGAGAGAGGTAAAAAATAAAAAATAAAAACAAGGAGAAGGAGAAGAGTTTTTCTTTTCTTTTTCTGGACTTGTGTGTGTGTTTTTTTTTTCCCTTGGCTAGCTAGGGATGATGGGAGAGGCAAAGCAGGAAAGAAATGTGGTGGGTAGTGCGCATGCACGCTTCAAAGTGGTGGCTTATTATTTGTGTTTGTATGTAGATGATAAAGATGGATTATATATATTATCGTTTATGAGTAGTTGTTATCATCGTCTTGCTAGGGAAAGGAACCCTACTTGCCAATTATATATGCCTTAATTTGGACGGCTTCCATTCCAACTAAAGGTTAATGCATATGATGATACTTTATATATATATATATATATATATATACATACACACACTAATTAGTTGGTTTAATTATGAAAACTTAACCCTTGCTATTGGCTTGTATTCAATTAATGTATCATTGGTTGTTTTTAAGCAAAATAATGCCCAAATAGGGATGAGTACAATTTAATCTGATCAGCCCGACAGATCTGTTCGATTATTTCATTAGGACCCTCCAAAATTTTGCTAATTTTACTCATGACTTCATTTTTTAAGTTTAATTTTATCTTCATCTTTACTTTATTTTCATACTAACCCCTATTCATTTACTCTAGCTTTGCTATTATCCATAACATTTGTATTCATGTTAATCAAATATAAATATACTATCTAACCTAGAAGTTAGAAATTAAATTTGAGAAGTGTCTCTTAATCACGTTTGAAAAAAAACTAATTTCGAAATACATAAAAATTAATTCGAAAACATGTTTATCGTTGGAAAAAAAATGAATAATTGAACTCGAATTATTAATTTTGAACTTATTATTATTATTATTATTATTATTATTTATTACTTAAACCACCTCACTCAAACTATGATGTAAATTCTAAGATTTATAAGAAGATGAATCTTTTTTAACTTTTTTATATTTATATATATATCTATCTTTCATTTCACGAGTAAATCTAGACATTGAAATATAAGCATGATTCGATCTTAAATACCTTAAAATATCATCCATAAAGTTTCCAACTTAAATTGCCTGGTTCTTATTCTCCCATTGATGCGTACCTGTGCTATTAGGCCCAGAAGGGCCGGAGGTGGTCATGACCACCCCCGAGCCAAGAAATTTACAAAGAAATTAGCATTGCTAAGCAAGACATTGTGCCTAAGACTGTAGCATCGCTCTGATTTATTGTATACTTTTTTTTGTTTTTCTTTTGCTTATATAGTAATTTGTTTTATTCAATGGTAAAGTGTATTTTTTTTTTTTAGTTAATTTGCACAGCAATCAACATTGAATTCCTTTCTCAAGTAATTTTAAGGATGCACTAACTCACTGGAGTTTTGAATTTCCAAGATAAAGTTAAAAGTTTAAATTTATTATAAAATAAATAGAAATAATAGAAGAATTGAAGAAAATGATGATAAGAAAATGAAATCACTATAATGTGAATATAAATGATAAGAACTTCAAAGTTTCTCTTATTCTCTCTAGGAAATTTATACACCAACTAATAAACAATCAAGTCTATTTATAGGCTTTAAAATTGAGAAAAGAATTGAAAGGGACTATGAATAATCAATTGCATCACCCTTTCAATTTCTCATATTGAATGATAAATTGAATCATATTAAGAATCATGAGTAGTAGAGATATGAAAAGTAAATGAACATGATGATGGATATTCATTATTTCATAATACTCTCCCTTGAATGTCCATTATACAAGGAACATTGCTCGTTAAAACCTTAATAGAAAAAAACCTAGTGGGAAAAAAATCCTTATGAAGGAAAAATAGTACAATATTCCTTGTACACATTAATCCTCATTTTTGTCTCCCCTGTTGAAGACATTATTTAAGATCTCTAAGATGATGCATTTTAATCTTGTGAATCATCTCCTCAAAAGTTGTGGTAGGTAACACCTTAGTGAACAAATCTGTTGGATTGTCACTTTAATGTTTTCTTCCTTCAATGAAACTATGCAAGCAGCATTATCCTTATATGATATTGTTGGAACTTCTTTTGCCGAGAGATAAATTACATGTCTCTGGATATGATGGATCATTGATCTTAGCCAAACACATTCTCGACTTATCTTGTGAATTGATATTTATGCATGATTTGCGGATATGGTAACCGTAGTTTACTTCATAGAACGTCAAGATATAGTTATATCTCCATATGTAAATATATAACTAGTTGTGATCGAGCTTTATGTAGATTAGATAAATAACATGCATCCGCATAACCAATTAATCTTATCTTTGATTTATTGGAGTAATATAAGCCCATATCAATTATTCCTCGAAGATAACGTAGTATATATTTAACTTTATTTCAATGTTTCTATATTGAAACGAAATATGACTTGCTAACAAATTTATAGAAAAGACTATATCATGTCGAGTATTATTAGCAAGATACATCAATGCACCAGTGGCACTAAAATATGGTACTTCGGGACCAAGTAGTTTTTCGTTATCTTTTCGAGGTCGAAAAGGATCTTTTTGGATATCAAGTGAATGAACTACCATTAGACTAGTCAATGAATGATCTTTATATAGAATCATTGTAGAATTTTTTTTAATATAAATTGATCGATGAATGAAAATCTCATTTTCCGAGTGCTTGAACTCGGAGTCGAGATAACATTTTATTTTTCTAAGATATTCACATCAAATTCTCTTTTTAGGTAACTTATGACACTTGGAATCTTTTCGATAGTTCCAATAATATTTAAGTTATCAACATATAAAACAAACCCATTTTCAAATAAAAATATATAAACAAATAGGGTTATTTTTTATAACTTTCTTTCAATAAATAATCATTGAAGTGATTATATCACATGCACACGGTTTAGTAATAAACGGTAGATATAAAAATAAAATAAAATAAGTATAAATTGAATTTTTAAAAACCAAAATAATAAAAAAAATAATAAAATAATCCTAATAGAGATCTCTATAATTTAATTGAATTCTTTTCTCGAAAATATGTATTACATGATTCGGCATGTTAAGTCCTTTTAGGACTTTCATACCGATATCATTTCAAATGAACAAATAAAATATGATCGCATTCATTAAATGCATGCATATGAATGTTTTTCATACATTTTTCCAACCTAATGAGATAACAAAAGACAATTGCATCTACTATAGGAGAATATGTCTCCTCATAGTCAATGTTAATTCTTTACGAAAACTTTTATGTTAAAAGTTTTGCTTTGTATCTTATAATCTCATCTTTCTTATTTTATTGTCGTATAAATACATATTTGTATCTCACTCGGCTTAACATCTTCGAGTGTTTTAGCTATGAGTTTAAAAAACTACTCTTTTATAAAAGAACATAATTCTGTCGAGATTGCTCTTTTCATTTTGAATAATCATCTTTATGTCGACATTCTTCAATAATTTAGGCTCGGGATCCTTATTTTCATCCATAATATCAATTGTAATATTATATGTAAAAATCTTATCAATAGATGTTTCTTTTCGGTCCTATTTTCTCCATGCATTGATATAATTTATCAAAATCTCTTGATTTTTCTCAAGTATTTGGACTTCTTCCGGAAGCCTATTATCGAAATATATTGGACCATTTTGTGAATATTTTCATCTTGCCCTTTTCTTTTAAAGATTTTTATCTTTAGAACCGATCGGTCTTCCATACTTCAAGCATGCTTTAAATTCATTAGTTATAATATTAATAGATTATCCTTCCGGGATATAAATTCTAATAGGAGTATTCTCGGCGGGGACATGCATTTTAGTTACTCATTTAAGATTTAAGAATGCATCCGGCAATTGGTTTCAATACCTTGTAAATGAATTATCTTTTGAACTTCTAGTTCACATTATCTTCTACAAGAATCAAGGTGATATCTTCTAGTTCACATTATCTTCTTCAAGAATCAAGGTGATATAAGATAAAGTACTCCATGTAATCTTTTTTTCGTTCAACATTTTCAACTCGCTTATTTTGTTTATTCTCTCCCCCTAATGTTGAAAAAACTATTTCATCAAAATGACGATCGATAAATCAAGTTCGTAAAAATATTATTTATTTATGATTCAATATATTTAATTATCAAAAAAGATTCAAATCCAATATATATTCTCAATCTCCTTTAAGTGCCCATTTTATTTCATTATGAAGGAGCATTAAGGATAGACAACTGCAATGTCAAAAAAAATTCTTAAATAATAAATATTTGACTCATAACCATAAATCAACTAAAGATGAGAGAATTTCGATAATTTATAAGTCATATGCGAATAAGTATTGTCTGCATGTAAGATTGTATGTCTCCAAACATAAACATGGAGTTTTATTTTTAAATAATGGTTTAGCTATCAATTGGAGCCTTTTGATAAATGATTTTTCTAAACCTTTTTAAGTATGAACATGAGCAACAGGATGTTCAACCTTTATTTTAATAGCCAATCAATAATAATTTAATGCTTGAGAAATAAATTCATTAGCATTATCAAGGTGACTTGTTTTAATGGCATAATTTGAAAATTATGCTCGAAATTAAATTATTTGCTAGCAATCTCGAAAACATCGGGTTTCAAGTATATAATAAGTATATATATGACCATCTTGTGGATGCATTTATCAAAATCGTAAAATATTTAAATGATCCACATGGTAGATGAATTGATCCATATATATCACCTAGAATACATTCTAAAATACCGAAGATTCAATCTAAATTTTACTTGATGATGGCTTAATCATAAATTTACCTTGGCAACATGCGGAAAATGAAAGTTCATTAAATTGAAGAATCTTCCGGCTCTTCAATGGATATTCATATAAATTTTTTAATAATTTTTTCGCATAATGAAAGACCCAAGATAACACAACTGGTCATGTCACATAGTAAAAGTACTTGAATTAGTAAACTTCTAGTTTACTACAATATTTGTTTCAATCATTTCAATGTTTGTAATAAAGAATAGAAGAGAAAACGGATAAATTTTTTTTGATAGATATTTTCTATCCAATATAATGATTATAACATATAAGTATTCACATTTGCTATCTTGATATGATATCAATTCAAATGAATATCTTTGAAACTCTAACAAATTTCTATGAGACTTTGAAGAGAATAGTACATCATTCATAATAAATTTATCCTTTCGGATAATAACATATTTGCTCTTCTAGAGCCTTTAAATTAGTCACTTCAAATAATAATATATTGACTCTTCTAGAGCCTTTAAAAATTTTCTCTTCAAGTAATAATTTAGTCACTCTTCTAGAGCTTCAAAAATTTATCTCTTCAAGTCATGATATAATCGCTCTTCTAAAGCTTTCAAAATCTATCTCTTTAGATAATAATATAGTTGCTCTTCTAGAACTTTCTATTAAATTGGTATTATCATATATAATATTAACACAAAATAAATAATCAAATAAATCAATACAAATAAATAAATCAATATATGCCTCATAAACATAAACAAATAAATAAATAGTAAAATAAATTTGTAACCATCAATATACAACATAAATTATAAGAAATATAAAATATTTTATTTATAAATATAAAACTAATAAATAATTAATTTCAATTACTATTATTTTGATATATAAAATTAGCCTCTATATTTTATTTTCTTTTTTCTTTTTCAACGAGATTTGACAAGGCTTGATAAGATGCTTTGGTATACGACAAGTACACGACTAATGTCCATTCATGTCATATTTATAACATTCATTTTCAAAATGCTGACTTTATCTATTTTCATTCTTTTTTTTTCTTTTTATGACAACATTTGGTAAAACCTTTTCCTTTTTTTATAATTTTGTTGGGTTGTTAGGAGAAGGAGTTAGATAGCTTCTCTCAAAAGGTCAAAACCAATAAGTGCGGTTAGTGAGAGGGGGAAAAAATGAAAAAAGCCAACGATAAATAGAATGGCAAAAGAACATGACCGGATTGGCTCTTGGTATGCCGTAAGTCAAAACTAGATCCCTAGCATTTGGAAAAATAAAATATTTTAAAAAGAAAAGTACTGGGATGGTAAAAGAAAGAGTACTGGAAAGGAAAAAGAAAAATATTTTATATAAAAAAAGGAGAAATTAGTCCAGCCCCGCCTCTTCCTTTCAAAAGAACATTAAAAAAAAAGAAAAAAGAAAAAGCAAAAGAATGATTCGCAATTATTCTTTTTATAGAGGAAAGAATTACTGCTTTCTTTTTGTAGAGCATGGTAAGCTTGAAAAAAGTTATTAAATGCTGCTTTGAGATTGATCTTTTATATGTAGTTTATTTGATTACTTATAAAATGCAATCATTTTTTAGAATCACTATTCTTTATTGGATGGATGTGTGCATAGCCTTCCAATTAAGCTTTTTTTTTAATCTACCAATGAAGTAACTGCTGAAATCATCTACCTTCTTCTTTCTGTGGGAAAAATTTAAGCCGGCCCAGATGAAAACTTATGGAGTTAATTGAAAAGGATCGAAACATATGCATGTAAAGACTGTATATATATATATAATACATACATACACTTACATTAATGAACAATGCTAATATTAAGCACTTAACACTCAACTCAGCACTGAAGAAATGGATAATTAAGGAAAAAAAGAAAGAAAGAAAGAAAGAAAAACTGTTATAATTAAAGAAAAGAAAGTTTCATTGACATAAGGTGCAATTACAAGCAAGTTTATGCCAATCACAACCCCAACAAAACCCCACATATTTATATTTCTCACTGAGACCTCATCCTCTCGAGTTGGTTCAAAGCTGGTTGTAGAATATTGTAGAGCACCCAAAGGATAGCAGGAATGACAACAAACAACAGAAGGGTACCCCTGCTGTCACTTGTTGCATCAGCAATCATGGCAATCTCACTGGCTGATGCATCTGGCGTTGACATAAAACCTGATGCAGCCAATCCACCAAGTCCAAGCCCAATGATCACCCCCTTGGTCTCTCGCATGCGGCTAATCTGGTTAAGAGCAGGTTGGAGGATGTTGAATAGCACCCAAGCTATGGCTGGTATTATTGGTAGCAACAATGCTAAACCACGGTTGTCACCTTCTGCTATTTCAGCTATTTGTTGTGCAGCAAAAGCAGGATCACATGAACTCAAGGTAGTGAAGATAGCACCAGCAACAGCAGTACCAGCTAGGGTTATGTTATCAGCTGGTTTTGAGATGGTTAGGCCTTTGGGAAGGTTTTGCATGGAGAGAAGGGAGATAGGTTTTGTTGATGATGCCTTGGTGGGATTGATATTCTTGTTGGAGTTGATGCTCAAGCACTTGGCATTAAGTACTGCCATTGTTGCCATGGTTGCTGCCATTGATTCTTGCTTTTGTTAGGATTTCAGTTCCTGGTGATCTAGCTGAGCAGGAGAGAAATGAGCTGCAAAGGTTGCTGCGATGGGCAATAGAGATGTAAAGCCAAGTCAGGGAATTGAGGTCCAATGGAATTCTGTTTTCTAGATTCTACTCTTATCCAGAGATTGTACTTGGTGAGATATGGACCTCATGTTGCATACCCCACCACATTTTCTTATCAACATCCTTTTTGCTGAATTCTATGGGCAGCTAAGCTAAGATCACAGATTTGTGGAGGGGAGATTTCAATCCATTGCTTAAACTCTCTAATAATCATCATGGTTTAAGATTCCTCGCAAGTCCAAGAAGATTGATATCAACAGACTGCAGCCCATTTTTGGGCTGATTGATTTATGGGTACTTAATTTGTTCATGAGGGATCCAGAATTGGTGGTCTTTTTTATCTTTGCTGCTGTGCTTGTTGGTGTCTATCATCTGCTCACAAGATGCCCGTGTTTTAGACCATCAAGCTGAAGCCCAATTCGAACAAAAAACGAGGAAGACTTTATAATATTTGGCCCTTTAATTTGCTTCTTGTTTTGCTTCGAGTATAGTAATGTATCAATTACTTGGCATATATGTATACAAAGGATTTGCAAGGGTCAGGTGCAGTAGAAAGTATTCAGGGCCAAATGATCGTTCAGTAGTGTATCAATTTTACACAAATTAAATTATGCTTGTGAATATTCGCTACTATTACTCAAGCCTACCAAGCCCAACAACCATTTCAAATTTTCAAAAGGTTGGAGACGTGGATTTTTAATCAAGAAAAGCACAACAATTAGATATAATGGCAGGATAATAATTAAAACTTTTTCGATATTTTTATTTGAGTAAAACAATAACATAAAATTACACTGAAAACAATCTATTAAAACAAACAACATTAAATCATTTGAAAGGCATGCAAATCACTTATATAACACCATTCCTCACTTACTGTGTTAGTTAATGAGATTTTTATTAATTTTTCAGTTTGTATAGAGTTTTTATTTATTTATATATTTGGGGTTTCATGTTACATGTATAGATTAGTTTTGCAGTGCATGAAGTGCACAATAGATTAGTTGAGTTATTCACAAAAATTATATACTAGCATAACTTTCACATCATTCTCGGGAAAAAAGGACTAAAAGGCCAAAATAAATTCTAGTCAAGTATGCTTTATTTGCCCTATAAATCACAAATGACTTATAATATGATCACAATCATGACACGTGTCCTTATATTCCACTCAAAGGTCGTCTAGACAATATTTCATCATGAACGGGACAACTCCAATCATCTATCAAACGAGTCTCATAGTTGGATAAAGCCTAGATGATCAATATGAACAAATTTTTCTAACAAAAACGAAACCACTCTTTCCACTTGATAAACAAAAAAGACCGCACATGCATCACTAGACAACGACATTCATCTAAAAGAATCCTAAAGTTTCAAATGGTGCCAAGAGCTATTAAACATAAAATAAGAGATCACTCTACTCTTCATTCCATATAAATTGATCACATCTCTATATAAAGGTTAATAGACTAAATATTATAGGTTCTACATTCTAAGCTTAAAAATGAAATTTACTCTACATATCTTCTCCCACTAAAAGTTAAATACAATTAAGCCTATTTAGGAAAAATAATTCCCTTCGTGCACTAATTTAGCTATCAAATGATCCTCCAAGCACTTAGAGGAGGATTTGTTTTACATGTATTATCTATTGACTCAAAATATAACTAGTTACATTAACCACATAATTAGTTTAAATTAAAAGTCATCCAACCATTAATATTAATTTGAAAATCATGACCTCATCGATGGCATGGTTTGTGAGAAATTGAGCAAAAGGCAATCGTAAACTATTCTATATCTCCATCTCTAAGGTTTTTCAAATCTAACAAATAAGAAATTCCAATGCATTTTACTAGCTAGTCCTAGTGCTCCACTAGACTTCCTCTTACTGCAACAACACATCGAGTTGCTAACAAAGGTGTATATACTAATTTAAGAGTAGATAGAGTCTTTGACCACTTTATTACTAATGGCTTAAAAGCAACAAGCACCTTCGACATGCAATAGCTCTTCAGAGGTTGTCACCCCATTACAAGTTATGTCACACATTCATCAAAATAGACCGGACTAACGAGTTAGTTGAAGAAGAAATAACCATATATTATGAGAGAAATTTTGAGAAAAGGAAATGCCACTTTTTCCCAAAACCTCGAAAAAGTATCTCTCATTATCATGGAAAAGAACCAATGAAGCCAAGTCTCTTAGAGAAAAAAGAAGAAGGATGATAAAACTAAATATTGCCACGAGTACAAGGAGCTAGCATAACACTATCGTGGATCAACACAAAAACTAGCATAGGTAACTTTCTCTTCCTTTCAAACCTTCTGGTGAGCCTCAAACCCAAATTCCAACATGCATATAAAAGACTTGTAGTCATTGTTAAACCTATATCAAACCATTACAACCATAAGCTCTAGGACTCTCACTTTCTCTTCCTTTGCATGTTGAATGCTAAACTCCTAAGATTTTTTTTTTTTTTTTTTTGAAAAGATGAATTTGGACGTGTATGATAGCATGAAAAATTCCAAAAAAAAACACCTAAAAATGTCCGAGAGAAACCTTGAGTTGGTCATAAAGAGCTCGAGTTTTATATGCAAAGTTCTTCCTACCACCTTTAGATGGGTGATGAGGAAGTGGTTTAACAATTGAGACTTTGACTTGATCCTTAGTTTCAAAGACTCATGTTCTAAGTTAGTGGCTCACTTATCCACCGAGTATTCATGGTGAAAAAAAATCAAGGGATTTGTTATTAGTCTCTTAGAGAAAGAAAGAAAGCACTCGAGCCTACCTCTCTTATTTCCACAAGAAAATGCCAAAGGTTTTGGCATATTAGAACCTATAGCAATTGAAGCCCTCTTATCGGGGGTCGGTGACACCAACCTATGGAAGAAAATCTACACTCTACCTAATAGAAACTTTTATCGGATAAAAAAAGTAGTTAAAAATCATATCCGGATAGATGAAGTAATAGTCATTCAATAAGTCCATTAGTGCTTTTAAAAGCTAACGAGAGAAAATGAAAATGAACCTCATGCACTAGCACAAGTCCAACCCATTTTACTCATATAGATGTGGAAGGAATAACTTTCCTTCATAATGATGCTCGGGTAATTTCAACGATGGTATTCAACCATAAAATCCTTCATATTTTGGTCGACTCTAGCACTATCATCTATGTTTTGTCAAAGAAAGTCTTTGACTTAATTAAGATGGACCTCTCAAAGCTCTAATTGGTTGATAATTCTTTAAAGGAGATAAAAGGAAGACATGTCTTGATGGAAGGTAAACTTCAAGTTCTAGTAACTATGGATATCTCTGTTTAGAATGTAACGATACATCCTATGTTCGTGGTTATAGAAATAAATTTGGCATACAATGCCATATTTAGAAGGCCCTCTATAAAATCAATATTGCTATTAGTACCCATTATATGTTCTTAAAGTTCCCCACACTAAAGAGAATGGCTATAATCGGGAAAAGTCAAGTCACCGTTCTAAGGTGTTCCTCCTTCAATATAAAGAGAATTAGGAGTGAACATGACCCAAGATGAGAATAGGATTAGACAGGAGATGCTAGAAAGTCAAAGATGTGAATAAAAAAGAACAATCGCTAGTCTAAACTTGTCAAACGGGCATGGTGACCGACTCTTTTTCATATACAAAAAATGTACATGAAATCAATGAATGCAATTTTTTAATAACATTTTTCCAATCAGTATGTTTTTATAAGAATATACAATCTTGCCTTTGTTAGAAACATTGCACTCCATAAAAATCTTGGATAGAGGTGGCTAAGGTATTACCTTAACTAAAAAGAAACACACCCTGACCAACCTCAATAATAAAAAAATATAGAAAATTTTCTCAAAAAAATACAATTATCAATGAGTAAGTTCCTAGGATTGAAAAGATTATAGTTATTTAATTATCTAAGTATAAAGACATACCTTGCCTAGTTTTATTGGCACAATACACCTTCTTAAAAACTATAAACTCCATTCACTTTTCTAAATCGAGTTATTATCTTATCCATGTATAAAGACATACATTATTTAGGTTTAAAAAGGTCATATTTGTAAAAAATAAAAATAAAATAAAATGAAGAGTAATCTCTAAAACACAAGCTAGTAGTCTACAAAAATTCAAGACTCTAAAATTCATGGTAATATACCCCACTAAGTCTAAAAGTATATCTAGTCCAAGTCTAAATGCAATCATAAATCAATTTTTTATGTTAATTTATGAAAAAAAAATTTGTTATTAATTATATATATATATTGTGAATACTTTTATTTTGTGTAATTTAATAATGTGAATATTTGCATTAGGCTCGAATAATTCTAAAATTATAATGATATTTAAGTTAATTACTTACACAATTTGTTTCATTTTCCTAACATGCTAGATGCTAATAATGCAGCAAGATAGAGAAGAAAGAATAAAACAACAAAAACCTCCAAGTGCAAACATTGGATAGAAATTTGTTATTTCATTGGATGACGAGTACAAGTAAGTTATAATGCAAGTATTGTGGAAAGGGGTTTAAAGGAGGAATCACTCATATCAGAAGCATATAGCTCATAAAAAGGAAAATGTTTTTGGTTGCTTAAGTGTTCCCAATTATGTTAGAACATATATGATGAAAGTGTCAAATGATTGCAAAGCCACAAAACAAGATAAAGTCATCGGACAAAGTCAACTTCAAGATGAGATTATGGATTCTCTTATCCGAGAACAAAGGGTGCCGATGATAATGAAGATGAAAAGCTCATGTCTTATGTAAGATAAGAGAGTATAATGCAACATGAGAGGGACAATTATAGAGCAAGCAAAGGATATTTATATGAAGAGGGTTCTAGTTCGGTTCTAGAAGAGGACAACACCAACAAGCTTTT